ATAGAAATTTCTAATATCCTAAGCATATTAATGCAGGAACAGACAATCAAATATCACATGTTCTCACATATAAGTAGGAGCTAAACATTGGGTACTCATAGACATAAAGATGAGAGCAATAGATACAGGGGACTAATAGAGGGAGACTGGAGGAAGAGGGTCGACACACTCACTGTTGGGTACCATGTTCACTACATAGGTGACAGGATCATTCATATCTCAGCATCACGTAATATACCCTCGTAACAAACTTGCACATGTTCCCCTGAACCTAAAATAGAAGCTGAAATTATTATTTTTTTAAAATGTGGCCAGGCACAGTGGCTCATCCATGTAATCCCAGCACTTTGGGAGGCCGAGGCAGGAGGATCATCTGAGGCCAGGAATTCAAGACCAGCCCTGCCAACACGGTGAAATCCTATCTCTACAAAAAATACAAAACTTAGCCAGACATGGAGTCAGGCGCCTGTGGTCCCAACTACTCAGGAATCTGAGGCAGGAGAATCACTTGAACCCGAGAGGCAGAGGTTGCAGTGAGTTGAGATTGTGCCATTGCACTTTAGCCTGGGTGACAAGAGCGAACTGTGTCTCAAAAAAAAAAAAAAGAAAAAGAAAATAAAATGTTACTGCAAGCATTAAAAAAAAATAAGAGGGTTATAGTTTGCCGTGAAGCATATTCTCAAGAGTGGTTTATTAATTGCTAATGAGCTCATTAGCACCCAAAAGTCTACTGGCTCTTAAGGCAATAGAAAGAAAAAAATTACTTTTTGATGCATTTTGTATTCTAAATTCTTCCATGAACTTTGTTAGCCTTGACTAACAAGGTATTTTCTTCAGATCATATTCATAGAGGAAGCTCATTTACAGGAAAAAGAAAATTTTCCTTTTCACATCACACTTATCATCAATAAATAGTGTCTAGTATGGGAACAACTGGAATCTAAACACTTCAGAACTACTGAGGAGGTGGTAGGGTACATAAAAGCATGAGTGTTAGGAGAAAAAAGGGCTTAGCGTATCTCTTATAATGATCTTCCATTTGCAGAGGTGACAATAATGTTTGTCAATGCTATGAACTGCCTATGAATATGTCTTTTTCTCAAAGGATAACATGCAAACTCTTCATGTTAATGTTCTAGTTGTAAATAGAATGTCTGAATGGAAAACAAATAAATTGAAAGTAAAAACTGAAGAACTTCAGACCTTATCATTTTATAGTAGGAAGTTTCAGAAAGATCTTACATTTTTGATAAGGAAACCTGCCACTCCTCAGTAGAAAATGGCCCACTGTTCATGACAGTAACATCGATCCATACCTATTCTGCCTTAGCCATAGAGACAAGGGGCTTTATTCATTATCCATTAAATCTTCACAATAACTCTTAAGGGATGAACCCCATTTTATTCCCTTCTACAAAAGGAAACTGGAGTTTAGAGAGGTCCAGAAGTGGCTGCACAACTAGTTAGTGCCCCAGACAAAACTCACACAGATCTTTCTGAGCCATAGGCTCATGTGTCATCCCCACTCTATTGGCAGCCTTATAACCAATGTCATCACTCATTTTGCACATTCAAATGACTTCAACCATTTAAAATATGGAGACATATTTTAATGGCATTTACTTGGCAAAAGTGTGACCCAGCAGAGCTGCTGCATGCAACAGGTAAGTCAATGGTTTTTAAAAATGTGTTAAAAGATCAAGTATATCGTGAGGTTCCAGAAAATGTATTTAATTTTATTATTTTTATTCATTTAATTAAAAAAAAATTAGAGACAGTGTTCCCCTGTTGCCCAGGATGGAGTGCAGTGGCATGATCACAGCTCACTGTAACCTGGAACTCCTGGGCTCAAGTGATCCCCCCACCTTAGCCTCCCAAGCAGCTGGGACTACAAATGCATACCGTCACACCCAGACAATTTTTTATTTTTTGTAGAGATAAGATCTCACTATGTTTTCCAGGGTGGTCTTGAACTCCTGGCCTCAAGCAATCTTCCCTCCTTGGCCTCCCGAAGTGCTAGGATTATAGGTATGAGCCACAATACCCAGTCCATAAAATAATTTCAAATGAACAAACATCCTATCACCTGGAATACAGATGATATACACAAGGTAAATGTGCTCCCACTCGCTCCTCCCTCACCCATGGTGGCATTGTTAGTTAATCACAGCATTCGTCTGTGCTGAGTCTGGATGTGGCCTCAGGATCCTTTCCACACCAGCACTAAAAATCCAGGCAGTCGTGCAATGAAACTTATCTGCCACTCTTCATTTGAATGCACTCAACTGTGGTACAATTAATGTGGAAGGTTTTTCAGACTCTCCATCTTTGTAGAGATAAATCAGTCTCTTCTAATAAAAATCTCAAAAGATGAAGAGTTGACTCGGCAACAATGAATACCCTTCCGGCTGGGTCCTATACCACACTGTGCATGCAGGTGTGCTGGTCTCGGCATCCCTCTCCTAGGGCCCTTCAGGTTTTTCATCATCACCTCCCATCTCCAGGGCACACTGACTGGGGCTGCCTTCTACAAAAGTGCATTGGGCTCTCATCTTGGTGCACAGCTCATGACATACAGTAAGTCACTTCCTTACCCTGGTCCTTAAACTCCTCTGTGAAATGGGAAATAATACCAATCTATTAACCTTAAATAATACCAATCTATACACCTTAAAGTGCTGGTCACCTCTAGAGAATCAGGCTCTGCTGTTATTGGACTTTGGAAACCATGTCGCACTCTGTTGACCAACTCAAAGGAGAAACTCTGCCTCTGCAATAAGCCTATCATGCTGGGCCACCCACCCCAGAGATATGGGGAAAACCAGGGGTCAGCCCAAGGCCTCTGTTTCTGCTTTGTCAAAGCCCAGAGATGTCATGCCAAGAGAGAAGCAAGCATGAAGGTCTAGAAGACAAAGCAAGGAGGTGCGGAACTGGGAAAAGACATAAAGCTGGGGTCAAAAAAACAAAAAGAGAGCAAGAGTTTCTACAAGGCTCAGCCACACGATAAGCTGGGGGGCAATTCAGGAGCCCATTCCACAATGCCTGCCATCGTCTGCGGTGCCTTTTGAGGGGACCTCCAGGTGCTTCCACAGGCCTTGGCTATGCCAGGCACTGTGTCAGGTGCTGGTGAGATCCTGCTAAAGAAGGCTATACGGTCGCTGAGCTCCCAGATTTACAGTCCAGTAGGGGAGACTAATGAAAGTCATGAAATCAAGCAGAAATAATAAACTTACTTATCAGGTACTAAGAAAGAGAATAATGTCAGAGGTGACATTTAAGCTGAAACTTGAAAGAAGAAAAGGAGCTTGATAAGCAGAGAGTCTGCACCGAGAGATGAATGGATAAAATGTGATCTATCCACACAGTGGAATATTATTCAGTCTTAAAAAGGAATCACGTTCTGATGCGTGCTACAACATGCATAAACCCTGAAAACATGCTAAGCAAATAAGCCAGACATAAAAAGACAGCTATTATACGATTCCACATGTATAGGTGCCTAGAATAGGCAAATTTCTAGTGACAGAAAGCAGAATAGGGGTTACCAGAGTCCAGAGGGAGAGGGAATGAGGAGTCAGTGTGTAAAGAGTACAGAGTTTCTGTTTGAGATGATGAAAAAGTACTGGAAATAGATAGTGGTGATGGTCACACAATATTGTGAATTTACTTAGTGGCGCTAAATTGTCCACTTATGTATGGTTAAATAGTAAATTTCATATTATGTGCACTTTACCCAATAAAAACACTTTTTTAAAGCAAGGAGGCCAAGTGCAATGCCTCATGCCCGTAATCCCAGCTACTTGGGAGGCTGAAGCGGAAGGATCACTTGAGTCCAGAGTCTGACGCTGCAGTGAGCTATGATCATACCACTGCGCTCCACCCTGAGCAACAGAGCAAGTCCCCATCTCTAAAAGATATACATAAAAATTTTCAAAATTCGGCCATGTGTGGTGGTTCATGCCTATAATCTAGCACTTTGGGAGGCTAAGGCATGAGAATCACTTGAGTCCGGGAGTTTGAGACCAGCCTGGGCAACATAGTAAGACTCTGCCTCTATGAAAAATTAAAAAAAAAAAAATAGCTGGGCATGGTGGCACACATCTGTAGTCTCAGCTATTCCAGAGGCTGATGTGGGAAGATCACTAGAGCCCAGCAGGTTAAGACTGCAGTGGGCCATGGTTGTACCCCTGTACACCAGCCTGGGTGACAGAGCAAGACCCTGTCTAGAAGAAAAACTCAAAATCAAAGAATGCCCTTTTCCTCAGCAGCAACCAAGTTCATAATTTGCTAGTGTTTTTAGTGGAATTCCCAATTCCAGTGGCTTTGTAACTCTTGAGATAAAAATACAATGTCAGTTGGCACCTGGCCCAGATTCCAGAGTCCCAAAGAAGACTGAAGGGTAAATAAGTAGGGGTGTGTGAGCTCAGAAAAGAGCAGGCACAGCAGTGAGAAATGGAGGCCATGTGGTGACACGGGGGAGGAGGAGGAGGAAGGTGTCAGCGGGCAGAGGGAGCAGTTATTAGAGAAGAAAAAAAGAAGCAAAGATCTTTTAAATAACAGTTCTTTGGGAAAATGCAGCAAGCATTCTCCTCTATATTAACTTTCTACATTCTCAGTCTAATAATCCAGATGACTACTAATTTTCAAGGCAATATAAATGATTTTATATGGGGTTTCCTATATAAATCCTTAGAGGGTTCTTTGATAGGCATTATGGCACATTTTAATCTAAGTTCTGCATTTTAGTTGATCCATTGAAAGATCATCTTAGAACTAAAATGTATCTTTAGAATTTCTTAACCCCTGAGGATGATAATTAACCATCAAAATGAATTTAGAGCCTGCACAGCAAGTCAGCATATCAAAATGATTAACTTTGCCATGCACATCACTGGGGTTTCTTAACTATGCAATAAATTTAATGAAAAGTGTAAGGGTTTTTCTTTTGCCCAAAATGAAAACAGCTTTGTTTCTTTGCCTGATATGTGAAAAATTCCATCATGCTCACTATGGCAGCATATATACTAAAATTGGAATGATACAGAGATCAGCATGATCCCTGTGCAAAGATGACATGTAAATGCATGAAGCGTTCCGTGAAAAAAAAATTCCTTCAATACAGAAAGTATATGAAATATAAAAATCGTCCAGGCACAGTGGCTCACGCCTGTAATCCCAGGACTTTGGGAGGCCGAGATGAGCAGATCGCCTGAGGTCAGGAGTTTGAGACCAGCCTGGCCAACATGGCGAAACCCTGTCCCTACTGAAAATATAAAAAATTAGCTGGGTGTGGTGGTGGGTGCCTATAATCCAAGCTACTTGGGAGGCTGAGGCAGGGAGAATCGCTTAAACCCAGGAGGCAGAGGTTGCAGGGAGCCGAGATTGTGCCATTGCACTCCAGCCTGGCCAGCAGAGTGAGACTCCATCTCAAAAAAAATAATAAATACATATAAATACACACATATATATGTATGTATATATATATATACACATACATATATGTGTGTGTGTGTGTGTGTATATATATATATATATATATACACACACATATATGTATATATACATATATAAGCTTATCTGTATATGGGAACTTTTTCAAAATTAAGATTGTTATTCACAGAATTTGTAACTCTGAAACATACTATTAATACTTACCTATGTCAATAAATATTCTTTTTTTTTTTTTTTTTTGAGAAGGAGTCTTGCTCTGTTACCCAGGCTGCAGTGCAGTGGTGTAATCTTGGCTCACTGCAACCTCCACCCCCCAGGTTCAAGTAATTCTCCTGCCTCAGCCTCCCAAGTAGCTGGGATTACAGGTGCACACCACCATGCCCAGATAATTTTTTGTATTTTTAGTAGAGACAGAGTTTCACCATGCTGGCCAGGATGGTCTCCACCTCCTGATCTCGTGATCTGCCCACCTCAGCCTCCAAAAGTGCTGGGATTACAGGAGTGAGCCACCACACTTGGCCTATAATAAATATTCTTTTTTAAATACTGTTTTTCTAACATAATTTTATGGATACATAATATTCCATTTAAGGATATGCCTTGATTTACTTAACCAATCTCTTATTGTTAGACATTTCAGATTATTTCTAATATTGCACTATGATAGTTATAACGAAATATAACTACAGCAAATTAGAAGTATGAAGGTTTTATACATCTTTTCACAAATAAATTGGAAAATCTGGATGAAATAATTTTCTAGAAATACATAAATTACCAAAATTGATCTTAAGAGGGAAAGAAAAATACACCAGTAAGTATAGGAAGAATTTTAAAATAGTCCAAATAGTCCAAGGGCTACCTCTCCAATCACGTCACATCCAGGTAGTTTTTCAGGTGAAATCTCCAAAATCTTTAAAAACTCTGTCTATAGTATCCCAGAAATAGACAAAGAAGGATATTTTTACATTCTTTTTTAAAAAATCAGAATAACGTTAATACCAAACTGAACAAAGATGGCACAGGAAAAGAAAATAGACCAATTTCACTTATGAATATCAATGCAAGAATTCCAAGTAAAATTTAGCAAATATAATCCAAATGAAAGGAATAAAACACCGAAAATCCCAGATTAATTCATTCCAGCAATTAGAACTGATCATTATCAGGAAATCTAACAATATAACCCTCACATTATCATTAATTTTTTTTTTTAATGCGAGAGGGTCTCACTTTGTCACCCAGGCTGGACAGCAGTGGTGTGATCACAGCTTACTGAGGCCTCAACCTCCCAGCCTCAAGTGATCCTCACACCTCAGCCTCCCAAGTAGCTGGGACAACAGGCATGCACCACCACACCCAGGCTGGTCTTGACTCCTGGGCTCAAGCTATCTGTCTGCCTGGACCTCCCAGAGTGCTGAGATTACAGGCATGAGCCACTACATCTGGCCACATTATTCTAAAAGACATGATTTTTAAAAAAACTTATTTTTAATTAAAAAAATTCCTTAAAAGTGGGAATAAATTGATGCTTCCTTAAGATGGTGTACATAGAGTCAAAAACTAGTGAAATGATAATTAAAAAAAAATTTTTTTTTCACTTTTCAGGTGGAAACAAGCACATAAAATGGTAATATTTGTAGACAGAGAAACAGAAAGCCAGGTCAACCATGGTGGCTCATGACTGGAATCCCAGCACTGTGGGAGGCAGAGATGGGCAGATCACTGAGCCCAGGAGGTCAAGACCAGCCTGAGCAACATGGCAAAACCCCATCTCTATAAAAAATACAAAATTTGTCGAGGCATGGTAGCTCATGCCTGTAGACCCAGGAGGCTGGAGTGGGAGAATGGCTTGAGCCCAGGAGGCGGAGGTCACAATGAGTCAAGATTGCATCAGTGCACTCAAGCCTGGGTGGCAGAGTGAGACTCTGTCTCAAAAAAAAAAAAAAAGAAAGAAAGAAAAAAAAAGAAAATGAAACAAAAAAGAAACAGAAAGCCAAAATTAAAAAAAAAAAAAACTAACCAAAAGCCAGTATCATCATAAAAACAAAAGCAGTATAACAAAGTGGATGAAAACAATTTTGAAACTAGAATTCCTGGGTTCAAGTTTAGCTCTGTCTCTAGTTGTATAACCTTAAACAAATTACAGTAATGCATCACTTAACAACCAGCAAACAAATGCATAATGGTACATTTTAAGAAATGCACCATTAGGTGATTTCTTTGTTGTGTGAACATCACAGAGTGTACTTACACAAACCTAGATGGTAGAGCCTGCTACACACTCAGGCTGTATGGTATATCTACTGCTCCTAAGCTACAAACTCATACAGCATGTTACTGTACTGGCTACTGTAGGCTATGATGTCACTAGGCAATAGGAATTTTTCAGTCTCATTATGACCTTATGGGACCACTGCAATGTGGTCCATCATCATATATAAAGTGCTTAAAACAGTACTTGGCACACAGTGCCATACTGAGAGGGGAGACCCCCTCACCTCCTTTAATTTCACCTCCTCCCTCCCATCCTTCCAGATGGGAAGGAGGGTGAAGAAGGAAAAAAAATGAAATAAAATACCAAAGAGCTGGGAAAATGACTCCCTTTTTAGTTCCCAGCATCTCTGCTGTCTGTTAGCCTTGAAAGAGCTGCAAATGAATGTTATCCCTGCTGGCTGGAGCCCGGCACTGGGTCATGCCCCCCACATCTCCACGGATCAGGCTCCCTCCTGGAAACACCTCTGCCAACAAACAGCTTGTTGCTTTTGTGTTGTCTCTATAAGCCCCCTCCCCTGCTAGTCTCCATTCACACTGCAAATAAATTAGCAAATCAATAAAGCCAAAAGATTATAAGGTCAGAAGTCCAGCAAATGGACAATGACATAGTTCTGCCTCAGTTTCCCTTTTAGCATTGTAAGCCTATAAAAGGGGAGAGAAGCTGCAGCTTGGGGAGCTTGGTAAATAAGGCTGTAGCCTCCCGCAGCTCCCAGCTGAATAAAGCCACTTCCTTCCTCAGTTTGGTGTTCAAGAGGTTTGTTCCCCGCCGCTCCTGCTACAATATGAATGGACATGATTAGATATACCTAATATCAGCCGGGCACAGTAGCTCACATCTGTAATCCCAGCACTTTGGGAGGCCATAGCGGGCAGATCACTTGAGATCAGGAGTTCAAGACCGGCCTGGCCAACATGGTAAAACCCCATCTTTACTAAAAATACAAAAATTAACCAGGTGTAGTGACAGGTGCCTGTAATCCCAGTTATTCAGTGAATGTGGCACGAGACTCACCTGAACCCAGGAGGCAGAGGTTGCAGTGAGCCAATATCGTGCCACTGCATTCCAGCCTGGGTGACAGAGACTCTGTCTCAAAAAAAAAAAAAAGATATACCTAACATCAAAAAACTACTATCAGGAATGAAGAAACACCAAAACCATTTCCCAAAACATCAGGTATAAAAAAAAGAATGTTCAAAGGAAACACTACTATTTAAGACTTTGTTTTGAAAATACAAAGTGATCAATCAAGAGAAAACCATAGCTTTACAAAGAAAGAAAAATTTTAAAATGGAATTATCATTATTTGCAGATGATATAATACTATTCCTAAAAATATCAAGAAAATCAACTGAAAATCTATGAGAAACTAATAGGAATTTTAAAGATGTATTTAACTCATTTATTCCCTAAAAGTGAAATTTAGAGAAAAATATGAAAACAGTCTCAAGGTGGTATGAACTGGGAGTTTGAACTTTTCAAAAGCTCACCGTGGCAATGTAATTTTGGGGACTCCCATGCGCCCTGGGCTGTGCAGCTTGAAACTGTATCTTCTGGAACACTGAAAAATCCTTCTCTGCAAGCATAACAAACCTGGCTGCCCAGCCTAGACACATAATTTTCTATGATATAACGATCCGTAATCTCAGGAGGGGTGCCACAGTCTATTTCAGAAAATAAGTTAATGTCAAATTCTTCACCTTGTGAATGTAAATCTTCAAAATTCATAATCTCTCTCCACCTCTACCTTATTCCTCACACACACACCCTGAGCCATATTTTAAGTACGCTGGTTCATTCCCACGTGACTTCCGGGAACATTTCCCACAATTGTCTTTCTTCAGTCTTTTGGTCTTCCATAGTTAACGCATCTATACATGCACAAAGCTGATAGAATTTAGCAATCAACCCTCACTAATTTACACTAACTAAAGAGAAGCCTCGTCCAATGAAATAAAAATCTGAATTGCAAAATACCTTAAGATATATGTACCTTGATAATTTTCAGGGTCCCTTTTGAGATGCAAGGTCCTTACCAAATCATCAGTATTTACTAGCTAACATAGTAGTTAATATCAGAATATCCATTAACTGCTAATAAAAATTCTTTATGTTTACTAATTTTAGCTTTTAGTTTTTTTTTTTTTTTTTTTTTTTGAGACAGAGTCTCACTCTATCGCCCAGGGTGGAGTGCAATGGCATGATCTCAGTTCACGGCAACCTCCGTCTCCCAGGTTCAAGAAATTCTTGTGCCTCAGACTCCCAAGTAGCTGGGATTATAGGCATGTGCAACCATGCCCGGCTAATTTTTGTATGTTTAGTAGAGACAAGGTTTCACCATGTTGGCCAGGCTGGTCTCGAACTCCTATCTTCAAGTGATCCACCCACCTCAGCCTTCCAAAGTGCTGAGATTACAGGCATGAGCCACAGCTCCTGGGATTAATTTTAGCTTTTTAACATGGCCCCCTCTAACTTGATTGTTGTTATTTGCTTTACTCCACAGGTTGTAGAAAATGTGCAAAGGATCAGATCACCTCCACCCATATCCCCAACACAGGCTTGGAGCAGAAGAAAATCACCGTCAACAGAATTTCACCTTGAGATGCTGCATTTGTTGGCAGAAACCCACCTGTGCATGATGTGGCATCGATGGTCGGGTGGAAAGGCTCAGACCCATTCCTCAGCAAGTATCCATCCATACAGTAACATTCAAAGCTCCCAGGAGTGTTCACGCATCGCCCTCCATGCCTGCACAGGCCAGAAACTTCACACTCATCTATGTCTTGAAGCCCAATCCAAATGGAGAAAAGGAGAGAAAAACAGGAAAAAAGAAAAACAACAGGAGAGGATATTTGTGATAGTCATTTTTTCACATTTTCAAGTTATTCTTATAAAAGGATGCATTTGTTTGCAATTGTATCAGAAATTTTATTTTATGCCTTACAGGTTCTTCTCATATATCATTCACATCATAAGCACTAAAAACATAGCAAGTGCTCAATAAATGTTTGTCAGTGTGTTCTGGGATTTTACAAAACCAATAACCATCATCAACTCTCTGACACCAAACAAAATGAGCTCAAAAACATAAATACATACAATCATTAAAAAATGTCCTGGCCGGGCACAGTGGCTCATGCCTGTAATCCCAGCACTTCAGGAGGCCAAGGCAGGCAGATCACTTGAGATCAGAAGTTTGAGACCAGCCTGGCCAACATAGTGAAACCTCATCTCTACTAAAAATACAAAAAATAGCTGGGCATGGTGGCACACACCTGTAGCCCCAACTACACACGAGGCTGACTCAGGAGAACCACTTGAACCTAGGAGAAGGAGGTTGCAGTGAGCCAAGATCGTTCCACTTCACTGCAGCCTAGGTGACAGAGCAAGACTCTGTCTCAGAAAAGAAAAAAAAAAGAATGAATGAAAAACCCAATCACTGAAAACATCCAATCACTACAAATATATCCAATCACTAAAAAAAATCCAATCACCATAAATATATCCAATCACTATAAATATATCCAATCACTAAAAAATATCCAAACACTAAATACATCCAGTCACTATAAATATATCCAGTCACTATAACAAAAGAACGGTCCCAACCTCATACTAAAACATCTAAAGTAGCTTCAGAGAGAAAATATTTGCAGGCCTGGCACAGTGGCTCATGCCTGTAACACTAGCACCTTGGGAGGCCAAATTGGGAGAACTAATTGAGTCCAGGAGTTTGAGACCAACCTGGGCAACAAAGTGAAACCCTGGCTCTTAAAAATAATAGCTTAAAACATAAACAAATTTTTTAATGTTTTAAATAAGGAAAACAATCTCCAGGAAAGTGAAAGTGCCAGCTCATGAGTATAGGATGGTATGGCAGGTAGCAGGGTGGTAATTTAATTAGGAAAGGTCTCGCTAGTTTTATAAAAATCAGAAGGGCTTAAAACAGGCTTCAAGAAGGACAGGACATGCCCCTTTGCAGACTTTTTCCATCTGACTGAAGACTACCAGAAACAGCAGGTACAGGGTAAGAACTGCCCAACAAGCCAGAGGCTGGAGAAGAAATTTCTCTGTCAGTTAGCAGTTTTTCCCCTCAGAACTGACTTTAAAACTTTAAAAATTCCATCAGCTGGGCATGGCTGTGCATGCCTATGGTCCCAGTTACTCAAGAGGATAAAGCAGGAGGATTGCTTTTAGTCCAGGAGTTCAAGGCCAGCCTGGGCAACATAGCGAGACCCTCCTCTCTAAAAATAATAATAATAATATTTTCATCAGAGCGACACAGATCAATTCTACTTGGAGGAAAAATAAAAGTACCCTAACAGAAATTCCTAGGCCATTTGTATGAAAACATCAGGGATTGAGCAGTAGATAGGAAGCAGCATAATTGAAGAAAGTCTACCATAATTTCTTTTTTTTTGAGTCTCACTCTGTTGCTCAGGCTGGAGTACAGTGGCATAATCTCTGCTCACTGCAACCTCTGCTTCCCGAGTTCAACCAATTCTCCTGCCTCACTCTCCTGAGTAGCTGGCACTATAGGTGGGCGCGACCACACCCGGCTAACTTTCTGGGCTTTTTTTGTAAAGGGTTTCACCATGTTGGCCAGGCAGGTCTCAAACTCCTGACTTCAAGTGATCCACCCACCTCAGCTCCCAAAGTGCTGGGATTACAAGCATGAGCCAACACAACTGGCTGTAATTTCTTTTATTAAAAGGATATTTTAGGACCAGGCATGGTGGCTCACGCCTGTAATCCCAGCACTTTGGGAGGCTAAGGCAGGCAGATCACTTGAAGTTGGGAGTTCGAGACCAGCCTGGCCAATGTGGTGAAACCCCATCTCTACTAAAAATACAAAAAATTAGCTGGGCATGGTGGTGCACGCCTGTAATGCCAGCTACTCAGGAAGCTGAGGCAGGAGAATCGCTTGAGCCCGGGAAGCAGAGGCTGCAGTGAGCCATACCATTGCACTGCAGCCTGGGCAAGAAGAGTGAAACTCCACCTCAAAAAAAAAAAAAAAAAAAAAAGAAGGACATCTTAGCCCCCAAAAGAGAAAAGAAATAGTCTCAGAATCATTTTGAACTTTTTATATTCTTTATTCTCCTTCCTTTTTTGGTCTTGGATCAATGAACACCTCTCCCCTCACACCATTGTTTGGGAACTGGTAATTCTATTCAATTGCTGAAGGAGCCCATCCAAGTCAAACCACCCTCACACAGGAAGAAGTGCCACTGAGCTTCGGCTTCTGGGTTGTGGCTCACGGAGGTTTCCATGATTCCCAGGAGTCATTTAGGGGATGGTTCTAAGGGTCAGAACATCTGCCAGTTCTCCAAGACTGGCTGGAATCATCTCACACTAGAATCCCACCAATTCATTCCTCCTCTATCTAATGTTGGTGACGTCCAGAGGCCTACCTGCAACCAGCTCCTGAGCTTGATGTCGACTCTGCAAAGTACAGTAAACACCTGGATGCAGGATTCCTTGGAATACAGGAACTAGGAATCACATCCTATGGTTCCAGGCAAACAGTGATCAACTGCTGATTCCCCGAAACTTGCTAACCTCTGCCCTGGCTAAAGCCCACTGACATTTCTCTGGCAACTGTGATTCTGAAAGAAACAGTCTTATCAAGAAAAGCAGTTCATCAGCTTTTACAAAGTGATAGCTGGAGAACTCACAAGGAAAGGTCATGGGAATGGCTGCCAGTGGACATGGTCTTCATGGTGGGAGATTGAACTGCTCTAAAAGAGCCGGTGGTGATGCTAGCACAACTTTGTGAATATACTGAAAACCACTGAGTTGTATACATCAAAAGGGTGAATTTGATGGTATGTAAACTATAGCTCAATTTTTTAAAAAAGAGAAGGTCATTAAATAATTGCAAGAATAGAATAAACAAAAGTAAAGCCTACATCTGGATTTTGTTCCAGGAAGATTGGTTGTAGTTTGGCTGATACTTATGTGGCCCTTGCATAAAGTATTTTCTTCTCTTTCCTCTTCTCCCCTTCTTCCTTCCTCCTGTTCCCACCAATCTCCTCCCTCCTCCTCTTCCATCTCATTCTTCTTCCTAACTTAAAAAATAAAATTTAAGACAAAGTCTCACTCTGTCACCCAGACTGAAGTGTAATGGCACAACCTTGGCTCACGGCAGCCTCAAAGTCCTGGGCTCAAGCGATCCTCCCACCTCAGATTTCCAAGTAGCTAGGACAACAGGTACATACTACCACATCCAGCTAATTTTCTTATTTTTTTAAAAGATCAAGTCTCACTGTGTTGCCCAAGCTGGTCTCAAACTCCTGGCCTGAAGTGATCCTCCAGCCCTGGCCTCCCAAAGTCCTGCAATTACAAACATGAGTCACTGCGCCCAGCTTTCTTCATAACTTTTAAAAGTTGAATTCATCTCTTGGAACTATAAATATACTGATAAATATACAGTTGTTAAGTTTTTCCTGGCAAACTCCCACAGCCTAGGAAACACCATTTCAGAGATCATATTTTCCAGAAAGTTCCCAAGTCCTTCCTCACTGCCAAGATAAGTTACCCCTGGATTTCAGTAAATGCCATTTGCTTACCTATGACTAACACTTTATACTGAAATTAGCTGTCTGCTCATCACCTCCTCCTAGCACAGCCTTGGCACATAAGAAGTGCATGAGAGGCCGGGCACAGTGGCTCACGCCTATAATCCCAGCACTTTTGGAGGCCAAGGCAGGTGGATCAGCTGAGGTCAGGAGTTCGAGACAAACCTAACCAACAGATGAAATCCTATCTCTACTCAAATACAAATTAGCCGGGTATGGTGGCAGGTGCCTGTAATCCCAGCTACTCAGGAGGTTGAGGCAGGAGAATTGCTTGAATTCAGGAGGCAGAGGTTGCAATGAGTCGAGATCATGCCACTGCACTCCAGCCTGGGTGACAGAGCCAGACTCCATTTTAAGAAAAAAAAAAAAAAAAGGAAAAAGTACATGAGAAATGTGTACTGAATAAACAGAACACTAGATCATCATCTTGTATGCTATTTTTTTCTGAGTGTCTTTTCTTCTTAATATACCAAACTTAATACTGCAACACTGTACTTCTGCAACCATGCAGCCAATAATTCGCTACCTAAAATAACAGGATATTATAAAATGTTTTCTCTGAAGGAATATGTTCATTCATGCCTAGAATAAATTAAATGTATTCTTTGAGAGATTCTGCCTTGGTACAGGTCAACAGGGAGGACGAATCCGAGCATAAGAACCTGTGGTTCCTGGTAGCTAAGAAGATAAAACATATTCCCTTTCTTTTTCTTTTCCCTAAAAACCTTCACAAAGCTTTTAAGCAGAGTCATTAAGTCTACGCAAAAGCATCTTAGAGCATCTCCTGTGCAAAAACAGGAGGTGTTTTCTGCCTTTCCTCTTCATTATTGTTCAAAGATTTTCCTAGAAAGCCAGATAGCAACATTACTGTGGCATGCTGTAAATAGAGTTCAGATAACAGAGGAGCCGCTAAAAATTAGGAGGGTTGGCTGGGCGTGTTGGCTCATGCCCGTAATCCCAGCACTTTGAGAGGCTAAGGCGGGTGGATCATGAGGTCAGGAGATTGAGACCATCTGGCTCACATGGTGAAACCCCATCTCTACTAAAACACACAAAAAAATTAGGTAGACATGGTGGCGTGTGCTTGTAGTCCCAGCTAATTAGGAAGCTGAGGCAAGAGAATCGCTTGAACCTGGGAGGCGGAGTTTGCAGTGAACCGAGATTGCGTCACTGCACTCCAGCCTGGTGACAGAGCAAGACTCTGTCTCAAAAAAAAAAAAAATTGAAGGGTTTGTTCTCACCCTGTATTGAACCAGCCTGTGCTCAGAGATCTAACCTACAGAGTTACTGTGTTCCAAAAAGTTGCACTCCTCACTCAGTGCACACATGTGGGAGGCAAGCCCACACCTCTAACAGGGACAACTCTGACCTCCTGTGAGCCAACAGCCCAGTGCCAGCCCCTAGGTTAGTATGCTCAGAGCTGGGGAGTGCCACTCACCCAAAAAATCCCCCACCTGCAGTTACAGGAACCTACAGGAGGCATACCATCTCCAGAGAGTCCCTCCTTACTGTTCATTATCAGAATGATCAGGCCAGGAGTGGTGGCTCATGCCTATAATCCCAGCACTTTGGGAGGCTGAGGCAGGCAGATCACTTGAGGCCAGGAGTTTCAAGACCAGCCTGGCCAACATGGCAAAATCCCATCTCTACCAAAAATACAAAAATTAGCTGGGTGTAGTGGTACGTGCCTGTAATCTCAGCTAGTGGGGAAGCTGAGGCAGGAGAATAGCTTGAACCTAGGAGACGGAGGTTGCAGTGAGCCGAGATTGCACCACTGCACTCCAGCCTGGGCGACAGAGTGAGACCCTGTCTAAAAAAAAAAAAAGTTCAAACACACAGACCTGTAAAAAGAACATTACAATGGAAAAAAAAAAAAGACTATTACTATGAACTCCCCTAGACCCACATCCCCCCAAGATTCAATCGTTGTTTACATTTTGCCATTTACAGTAGCTTACACACTAAAGGAATACTGTTACAGATACATCATCAGAACACCACAAGATATCTCAGCATGCATCTCCCAGAATAAGAATATTATTCTTTATGCTCAATACCATTGTCCCATCTAACAAAATTCACATTAATTCCCTAATATTAACAAATACACAGTCCAGATACTATCCTGCCATCACCAATTGCCAACACTGCAGCCCCCTTTTGAGTACCTGTACAAAAGGTGCCATCGTTGGGAATGAATGTCTTGTTGTTGTTTGTGGCTCGATATCCTTCCAGGCAAATGCAATAGAAGCCCCCGGGGGTGTTGTGGCAAGATGTGTGGTTCCCACAGACAACGGTGGCTCCAAACTGGCACTCGTTTTTATCTGTTGACACATAGACAAGGCGCTGGAAGAGCTATCAATCCACACCGACTTCAACAGCCCAGACTGTCCTCCCATGCTGTGAGCTCGGGAACCGACGTTCTGTGACCACACCTTAGTGATCTATTTCTCCAGCCTCTTCTCCTTTCACGATGCTTCCCAGACTACAGAACCTGGGCCCCTTGTAGTTACGTGCCAGGAGTGTATGAAACCCCAAGAGAAATACAACACCTCAATCTGGCAATCCATCTGATTTGAAAATTGGGGAAGAGGGCTCTCTTTGAACTTTTGCAAGCTTAAAAAGATCTTTTCAGAGACCTGCGGAAACAAACCAGCAGAATCCCACTTTTCCAGTACAGCCTTTTTCATGGTTTTTCATGAAAGTCAGGGTAGGATGATTTTACAGCCAGTGATTAACTAGAAAATTTGTTCTTTCTGAGCTACCAGGAAACACAATGGAATTAGTGCTGCAGCCTCATCCGGGAGCAGGGCTAATGCAGATGTGGGAACAGCTCATGCTAATGGTCAATGGCCCATGAGAATAATGTTAGTCCCTCAGTGTGGGGCCTGGAACATGGGGGCTCCGTGAGTCCCCAGAAGTCTCCCTGTTTTGAGATAGAGTTTTGCTCTTTTTGCCCAGGCTGGAGTGCAGTGGCTCAATCTAGGCTCACCACAACCTCCGCCTCCCGGGTTCAAGCGATTCTCCTGCCTCAGCCTCCCAAAGTGCTGGGATTACAGGCATAAGCCACCACATCCAGCTTTTTATATGCTTTTTTCTTCTATTATTATTATTTTTTTTTTTTTTTGGATAATCAGGGTCTTGCTTCATCACCAAGGCTGGAGTGCAGTGGTATGATCATAGCTCACTGAAGCCTCAACCTCCTGGGCTCAAGGGATCCTCCTGCCTCAACTTTCTGAATAGCCAGGACCACAGGTGCATGCCACCACACCAGCCTGATTTTTTAATTTGAAAAAAATATATACTGTTTTTACTTTTTTAACTTTCTTGTTAAAAGCTAAGGCACAGGCCAGGCAAAGTGACTCATATCTGTAAACTCAGCACTTTGGGAGGCCAAGGCAGGAGGATTTCTTGAGCCCAAGAGTTCAAGAACAGCCTGGGCAACATAGTGAGACCTCATCTCTACAAAAAATAAACAACATTAGCCTGGTGTGGTGATGGGCCTCTATATTCTCAGCTACTTGGGAGGCTGAGGTGGAAGGATCCATTGAGCCCAGGAGGCGAAGGCTACAGTGGGCCAAGATCACACCACTGTGCTCCAACCTAGGTGACAAAGTGAGACCCTGGCTCAAAAAAAAAAAAGAAATCCTAAGAAACACACACACACACACACACACACACACACAATAGCTTAGGCCTACACAGGGTCAGGATCATCAATATCACTATCTTCCATTTCCACATCTTGTCCCACTGGAAGGTCTTCAAAGGCAAGAACACACACATGGAGCTGTCATCTCCTATGATAACAATGCCTTCTTCTCTTCTGGAATACACTCTGAAGGACCTGCCTGAGTCTGTTTAATAGTTAACTTTTTTTAATAAGTAGAAAGAATACACTCTAAAATAATGATAAAAGCATATAGCATAGTAAATACATAATCTAGTAATATAATCATTTATCATTTTCAAGTATTATGTACTGTATATATATATATATATATGAATTTTTTTTTTTTTTTTTTTTTGAGAGAGAGAGAGTTTCACACTCTGTTGCCCAGACTAGAGTGCAATGGCAGGATCTAAGCTCACTGCAACCTCTGCCTCCTAGGTTCAAGAAATTCTCCTGTCTCAGTCTCCCGTGTAGCTGAGATTACAGGAATCTGCCACCACACTCGGCTAATTCTTTTATTTTTAGTAGAGATGGGGTTTCACCATGTTGGACAGGCTGGTCTTGAACTCCTGACCTCAGGTGATCCTCCTGCCTTGGCCTCCCAAAGTGCTGGGATTACAGGCATGAGCCGCCGCGCCTGGCCTATGTACTATACATTATTGTTTGTGCTATGCTTTTATACAACTGGCAGCGCTGTAGGTTTGCTTACACAAGCATCACTAAAAACACATAATGCATTGTGCTGTAACATTATGACAGCCACGACATATCTAAGTGATAGGAATTTTTCAGCTCCATTATATAATTTTTATGAGGCCAGCATTGTACCTTCAGTCCATCATTAACCAAAACATCATTAAATGGCACATGACTGTATTACATTTTTAAAATTTAATTGGCTTTGGAACATGATTCATCATATTAAAACTATCAGTGGGGCCAGGTGCAGTAGCTCACACTTGTAATCCCAGCACTTTGGGAGGCTCAGGTGGGCAGATCGCTTGAGCCCAGGAGTTCAAGACCAGCCTGGGCCACATGGCAAAATCCCGTCTCTACAAAAGGAAAATACAGAAAAATTAGCTGGGCATGCTGGTGTGTGCCTGTAGTTCCAGATACTCAGGAACTGAGGCAGGAAGATCACTTGAGCCTGGGAGGTCGAGGCTGCGGTGAACTGGTCACGCCACTGCACTCCAGCCTAGACGACAAAGACTCTGTCTGAGAGGAAAACAAACAAACAAAAATCTGTGTTTGGGAAGATTTGCGAAAGACCTTAGAGGGACAGAGCAGACTCTCAAGCCATAGTTACACCAAGTGTCCATCCCGGGTTACAGAACACTATCCAGTGGTTTCAGAAACAAGTCCGGCTGTCCAGAAAATGGAATATTCCGATCCTTTGTTGTTGTTTCTGAAACATGACTCCTCTGTGGACCTCACCAAAAGGGACATTTTGGTTTGTAGAGGAGTCTAGAATTCTCAAGACCCTGGACTTAATACCACGTTATAGCACCTCTGGTACATGTATAACCGCACCTGCAATCTATGTATGGCTCAGTCTCAGCAGGCCAGGCACTGGGATACGCAGTGCCTAGGGTTTGGGAGCGGTACCACATAAATTAATAAAGCCCCCTCCACCCATTAAGAGGAGTTTCTTTGTACAAAAATCAAAGGACAGGGCCAGGCGCGGTGGCTCACGCCTGATATCCCAGCACTTTGGGAGGCCGAGGCAGGTGATTACTTGACGTTAGGAGTTTGAGACAAGCCTGGCCAACATGGTGAAACCCCGTCTCTACTAAAAATACAGAATTTAGCTGGGCATGGTGGTGTGTGCCTGTAATCCCAGCTACTCGGGAGGCTGAGACAGGAGAATTGCTTGAACCCGGGAGGCGGAGGTTGCAGTGAGCCGATATCACTCCACTGCACTCCAGCCTGGGCCACAGGAGACTCCATCTAAAAAAATAAAAACAAGTCAAAGGGCAGACAAGAACAGGAGGAGGAATTCCTTTGGGAAGGGAACAGAAAAGTTCGTTCATTCTCAACTTAATTTCTATCTCACTGCTCGCAAGTGCATGTGAGGGGTGGGAGGGTGCGAGGCATTGGGAGAAATTTCCCCTGGAGCCTCAGACTGCAGGGCAGCCAAACTTCTCATGGGTACAACTCTAAAAAACAAGAGTCAAAGAAGACTTAACTCCAGCCTGCAGAATGGACAATGGTGAGCGACTCTAAAAGCTTGTGTCTGCAAAGTAAAAAGTGACTTTTTGAAGACAAGACAAAATTGGGTTTTTTTGATGGTGTTTTTTTTTTCTTCTATTTTTAAGAGATGGGGTCTTGTTCTGTCTCCAAGGCTGAAATGCAGTAGTGGCCAGGCGCAGTGGCTCTCACCTATAATCCCAGCACTTTAGAAAGCTGAGGCAGGAGGATCGCTTATGCCTAGGAGTTCAAGACCAGCCTGGGCAACATAGTGAGACCCTGTATCTACCAAAAAAATGAAGAAGAGGAAGAAAAGGAAGAGGAGGAGGAGGAGGAGGAAAAGAAGGAGCAGGGGGAAGAAGGAGAAGGAGAAGAGAAGGAGGCGGGGGAAAAGGAGAGGAGAAGAGGAAGAAGAAAAGGAAGAAGAGGAAGAAGGGAAGAAGGAAGGAAGGGAGGGAGGGAAAGGAAGAAAGAAGGAGGAGAGAAAGAGAGAAAAGAAAGAAAGAGACAAAGAAAGGAAAAAAGAGAACGAAAGAGAAAGAGAAGGAGAAGGAGAAGGAGAAACACTAGCTGGGCATGGTGGCAAGGTTGTAGTGAGCTATGATCATGCCACTGCACTCCAGCCTGGGAAACAGAAAGCCCCTGTCTCAAAAAATAAAATAATAAATAACTCGCTGAAGCTTTGAACTCCTGGGATCAAGCCATCCTCCTGCCTCAGCCTCCCGAATAGCTGGGGGTACAGGTATGTACTACCACACGTGGCTAATTTAAAAAATTTTTTAGAGATGGGGGTCTCACTGTGCTGCCCAGACTGGTCTCAAACTCCTGGCCTCCAGTGATCCTCCCACCTCAACCTCCAGAACAGCTGGAATTACAAGCTCTAGCCACCATGACTGGCTGCTATTTTTCTTTAGGGAGAAGAAAAAGCACACAAAGATATCACAACAAGGCTGTATACACAATTTATCCACAAGCGTAAGGTAAAATCATCAATATTTTTAATGCATCTAACAAGGTTGCTGGGAGGAAATTGGAAGATTATTGCAACATTTACTATTGTAAAATTGTTGTGAAAGTCTCCCTCTCTCTGAATCGAGCTTGAATCTGGATAGTGTCTGACTGTCATAGCATGGTAGATGTCATAAGGCAAACAATAATTTCAGATGCTTCTAACCTAAAGGGCTTTGAATTCCTTTAAGTCTTCTAAGTCCCTAAAAGTACTACAACTACCAAAAATTTGGAGGATGAATTCTGATAGACGTAAGACCCAAAGCAACAGTATTTCACCAATTAACCAAAAAGTCCAATAGCAAATTGTTTTGTTTTTCCTCGTGGTACTAATATAAAGAGTTTTATATCAAAATAACCAGAGAAATTAAGGAATGCAACATTCACTTGAGTTGCAAAGTCAAACTTAAAACAGATGTCAAATTTGTGTTAGGTCCCAGAGTTTCCAGAGATTCGACTTCAATTACCTCTAACGTGAGGAATACTACCTTGGAAACACTAGAGAACGAATGTATCCAAACGCTAAAACAAAGAATTATTATAATTGACAAAACTTCTCATAATAAAAATATGTGAACAAAATAAAAACATTCTCCCCCAAGGACATCAGCTCTTTAACACAAGAGAATCTTGTTTCGTGATTCACCATTTCAACTTAACCCAGGATTCAGAACTTACCAACACACTGAGTCCTCCCGTTACCCACAAATCCATAGTTGCAAATACAGATCCTCTTCCCTTCTCTTTGCTGGCATGTGGCATGTTCATGGCAAGTGGCACAGACATCTAAACCTGAATCATAAATTGTATGTTTCAGAAAAAGAAAAATGCAAGATGAGACACATGTAGTTAGTGGACATTTACAATGGAGAACCAAAATTTGAAGACCAAAATAACACGGGACACACCTAGTCTCATCCTTAAAAACCTTCAGTGGCTGTTTAGTTCCCACAGAATAATGTGTAAAATCCCTTCCTCTGTGTAGCAAACAATGTCTTCTTCTTCTTCTTTTTTTTTTTTTTTTTTTGAAACATTGTCTCACTCTGTCACTCCAGGCTGGAGTGCAGTGAGTGGTACAATCACAGCTCACTGTAGCCTCAACTCCTGGGA